TTTGCTGCATTCTTTTTCATTTTGACTTTGGGGCCTCCCTTCTTATCTGTGCATATTCTTTGGGGCTCTACGACTGCTCTCCTTATTCTCCGGGGTCCTTGCCTTCCCTACCATTTGGGTTTTTTGCCTCCTTGCATCTTTGGGTAACCATGGCCACCCGGGGCTTTTTCATTATTCCTGTTCCCCTTTTGGGTACAAACCTCTCCCACCTCCTTTGCCTTTGTTGCTACAATCCATCTCTCTTAACTGCTTCCCTGCCATTTTCTCTGTCCCACAAAACCTCATTCGGGAATTCCCTCATTCCTGTTGCCCCCTTTTCCCTTTTTTTGTTTCATTTGCCCTTTCCTTTCCCCTGTTTCCCCCCCTCCCGTAGCCTACTGTGTATTCAAGCTCAAAACCCAGATCCTACCCCCAAGGGGGTTTTTTTCATATGTGAATGTCCTAAATACTCCTACTCAAGGGAATAGTAAGCCCCATCGCGGTTCATCCTCTCCTCTCTCTCTGTATTCCCTTACGTGTGGACATAAGTTTTCCATACCACCCCATCATCTTACCCTCCATGTTCTTGGCCCCCTTTGGGGCCCCAAAGTTCTCCCATTCGATCCCCTTGTGGTTAAAGCGCCCATGATCGGGAGCTTTGCCCTGCATGCATGAGCTCTTCGGGCCACTGCACCCAGTGTTCACCTCCCTATTGCTCTCGAACCTTCCTTGCCCCTGCGGTTCTGTGGGGGTTATAATCACTGCAAATTATCCCCTTTGGGACCCCAGTGAAGGTTCCCACTAGTATCACTTTTTCTCCCTGTCCCTCCTCCAGCTCATAAAAAATTTCCACAGTTTTTTGATCAGTAATGCCCTTTCCTCCACCCCCCTGTTCCTTCTGCTTTTCCCAGGATCGGGTATCCGCGGAAAATGGCATCTTTTATCAACCTTAAGTTTGGGTTTCGTGATCGCTATGATTCTGGTAAATGCCTCTTTACTCTTTCGTGCCCTCCCCCCCCTTTGTTTGTTTTCATCAGCGTTGTGTATCATACCTCAGTTTTCCTTTTCCAAAAACTGTGGTTTGGGGGTTTCGATTTGTCCCCCCATTTTTCATCCCTTCCCCAAACCTTTTTTTTTCCCATTTCACAAGAGCTCTTTCCCCATTTTTTCAGAAAGCTCCCTAATTTTCTCTCCCATTCTTGCTCTATCCTTTTCCACTGTTCCTCCCATCCATTCCTCCTACCATACCATTGTCATCTGATCCCTGATTCCTGCGAGTCCCAACCATTTTTTTTTTTAATGAAAGAAAGAGAAAGAGAAAAAGAAGAGAAAAAGGGGGAGAGAGTGAGAGATAGGGAGAGAGAGAAGGGAGCCTAGAAGGAGGGAAAAGAAGGGAAAAAGGGGGAGAAAGTGAGAGAGGGAAAAGGTAAGAGAGAGGGGGAGTGACAAGGGAAAGAGAGAAAGAGAGAAAAGAAGGGGAAGAGAGAGAGTAAGAAGGGAGAGAGAGAGGGGAGAGGAGAGAAAGAGTGAAAGGAAGAGAGAGAGGAAGAGAGAGAGGATGAGAGAGAGGATGAGAGAGAGGATGAGAGAGAGGATGAGAGAGAGGATGAACTTATTCCACCTCTAAATCGACAGGATGGGACCACCTCTACTAGTAGTCAAGAGAAGGCGGACCTCTTTGCTGAACACTTTGCTACCAAAATGCAAGTTCCTGATCCAGCAAGGGACCCTCCTTGGCTAGCTGCAAGAACTGTGTCAAAACTGTCAGTGGTGACAATAAGGCAGGAGGGGGTGCATTTCCTTCTTAAATCACTTGACCAAGAAAAGGCTGTGGGCCCAGACAAGTTGAGCCCAAGATTGTTGAGAAGATGTGCAGACCAGCTAGCAGCACCTCTAACTCGCATCCTTTCTGCACTGCCTAGTACAGTGTAAAGGGCCCTCTCCAGGGAAAGAGGCAAATGTAGTCCCTGTTCACAAAAAGAAGAGCAGAGCAAAATCAGCACTACAGACCAGTGTCACTCCTGTCAATCACTGGTAAGATCCTTGAGACAATAATCCAAGACAAATTTACAGATTTTTTTGACTACCACTCACTACTTGTGATTGTCAATATGGCTTCAGGAAAGGTTACTCTGCTGCTGATCTGTTTTTTAAACCTCTCCACTAAGTGGCACCAGTCACTGGATGAATCCAAAGTCAGCTGTGTGGTAGCACTGGGCATTGCTGGCGCTTTCGACCGGGTGTGGCACCAGGGGCCCCTTAGCAAAACTTCAAGCACTGGGGAATTGCAGGCTCTACGCTATGTCCCCCCAGTGATTACCTTCATGGTAATCTCTAATGTAGTCCTCAATGGAACGGAATCAGCAAGGCATCCTATTGGGGCAAGCGTTCCACAAGGAAGTGTGCTGGGTTCACTGTTATGGAATGTCTACTTCAATGACCTTCTTCATCTCATCCCAGAATCACATGCATATGCAGATGACTGTACAACTGACATTCACTTACCCAAGAGAAGAAATGCCAGCTGCTCTAAGCTACATCAATCACCAGCTGAGAGCTATATCAGCTTGGGGAAATAGATGGCAAGCAACATTTGCACCTGAGAAAACGCAAATGATGATCGTCTCTAGGCACCATGATGGTAATGCTGGTGCAGTAGTAAGGATGAATGGACGATGTTGGCACCTGGAGAAGAAGTTGATATCCTTGGGGTGAAATTGACTCCAAACTAACCATGAAGAACCATGTTGTAAATCTTGCAAACAAGGCAGCCAGGAAGCTTACAGCACATCGCCGTATCTCGCATCTGCTTGACAGTAGGGGTTGCAAGATCCTGTACGAGGCACAAGTACGCTCACACCTTGAGTATGCTCCACTTTCTTGGTTTGCCTGCCCCCCCTCTCATCTGTGACTGCTTGACAGAGTAGAGAACAGAGCAAGACGTCTCATCTCTCGCCTGGACCCATCCTGGATAGATCTGTCATTTCAGCAGAGCCTTCAACATAGGAGGGATGGGGTGGCCTTACTGTTATGTACAAGGCCAATATTGTCAAAATACCACACTTGGATCCACTTCGAGGACAGCGTGAAACAAGCTTTTATGCCACAAGACGGGCAGAAAGCAGCAACTTCACTCTGGCTGTACCCTTCTCCAGAACATCACTCCATCTGAGATCATACATACCCAGGATGACTCGAGTATGGAACACATTCGTACAGCATAATGATGTCAACGAGATAACGTCAGTTGATCAAATGAAAATGCTGGCCCACAGATGGCTCCAACCCTTCATCCTGTTCCCTACTTGTATGTCTCATAACAATAAAAATGCTTTCAAATGAGCTGATGTAGGTAACAGCTCTTAGCTTGCCAATAAAGTTAGGAATCCTTAACCTGTAAATAGCTGTCAATAAAGCTAGGGATCCTTAACCTTGTCAAACCCTGTGTAAAAAAAAAAAAAAAAAAAAAAAAAAAAAGAGAGAAAGGGGGAGAAAGAGAGAGAGAGAGAGAGGAGAGGAGAGGGAGAGAGATGGGGGGGGGGGAAAGGAAGGGTTATAGGGTCACTTCACAGGAAGGTGTAAAATCCTGTATATGTGTGTGTGTCTATATATATGTGTGTGTGTGTCTGTATGTGTTTGTGTGTGTGTGTGTACTCACCTAGTTGAGGTTGTGGGGGTCGAGTCCGAGCTCCTGTGTGTGTGTGTGTGTGTGTGTGTGTGTGTGTGTGTGTGTGTGTGTGTGTGTGTGTGTGTGTGTGTGTGTGTGTGTGTGTGTGTGTGTGTGCGCTACAGCTATTCAAGTGCCTAACAACAGTGCTGTTCTCCCCAAGTGTGCATGCATATGTTTATGTAAACAGTCCTTATTTCCCACGTATGTACTACATATGTATTGTATATGTACCCGATCTCTTGTTTCCCACTGTACTCTTATGCGTTTAAAATTACGTTCAAAAATAAATACACTAGGCTTCGCCTATATGCCGCTACCTCTAAATTCTATTAAATGCCAGTAAATGCTGCTTATTCTAATTCTGATAGCTCGAGGAGAGTGACCCCCAATTCCAGCTAGAGACAGGTACTATTGACCCCATGCAACTCAAACTAGGTGAATATTACTTGCGGCTGGCAGTGGAGTAACGTTGCGGGTCTGTCCTGTCCCCAGAAGTTGATGTTTGATGCTTCTCGGTAATTTTTCCACTAACTTCCTGTATGCACTATATTCTCTAGCTCTTCTAATTTTTTCACTCACTCACTGTATTTACTGACACATCTATACATATCTCTTATCTCCCTGGTCTTGAGTTGCACTTATTCTTCAAAATACCCCACTGCATTATTATGGCAACACTATTTAGGCCTGACACAACCGTTCACCCTTCCAACGGCCCCTACTAAACACTCAGCAACTATTTCCTTTGTTTTCTTTAATGTGATCACTTATATTTCCTTTTTTCGGGGCTTAAGTGATTATATGCACTCTTATGCGTGCACACGCCTATATCCCACACTCTATTCCTTATGGCACAGTCAGAAATTATTACCAAAACACGAGCTCAAACCGCGTGACTCCTCCACGAGTGTGTGTGTGTGTGTGTGTGTGTGTGTGTGTGCGCGCACGCACGCACGCACGTTTTGAGACATTGATTTTTGACATGCGTTGCGAGATATTCTGAGAGCCAAATGATCACTGCCTCAAAAAAAGTATAGTGGAAGCTACTTTAAGAACCACTTGAGCATAGTGAAAACTATTCTAAAAACTGATGACTACTGTATAGTGGAAACTGATTTAAGAACCAGTAGTGGAAGCTAGTATAAGAACCACTAAGTGTAGTGGAAGCTACTTGTTTTATCTCTGCCTTCACTACTTCCTTATCTTGATCACTCCACTTCCTCCCCACCCTAGCCTTAATTAAGCTTCTGCTCCCTTCTATTATTTGAATGTCCCATACTTAGGGCTGTTAATTATACACAGAATTTAGAGCTGAAATAAACTAGAACTAAAACTAAGCACGTCTTGGCAGGCGTGAAGCATCCCAACCACATCTGTGACGGGTGTAAGCGGCAGGCCATCGCAGGCATGAGGTGGAAGTGCAGCTCCTGCTTTGACTACGACCTCTGCACCACCTGCTACATGGCTGACAAGCACGACCTCGTCCACTCCTTCATCAGATATGATACCGTTACGTCCAAAGGGTTAGTTACTTAAAATTTTAAGTTGTTGCAGTAGTAGCCGCCACCATTGCAACAGCATTTGGTGCACTAGCAGTAATTGCAGTAGTAGTAGTTAAAGCAGTAGCAATAGTTGCAGCAGCAGTAATAGTAGTTAAAGCAGTATCAGTAAAAGCAGCAGCAGTAGTAGTATACCAGTATTTGTTAGCCCATCGATATCTGCTGACTACTGGTACTGATAATCCTGTGCAGAAGTACTCGACAGTATGCCGACGCACTCATGCCAGTGTCCTGAAGACTCTCCATTACCATCTGCTTACAAAGTCTTATAACATTATAGTACCACCTGCTCACAACCTTATAACTTACAGTACCACCTGCTCACACATCCTTATAACCGTACAGTACCACCTGAGTTTTGATTACATAGTAGAGCTGCAAGTGGAGAGGGTAACAGGAGTCGATTGGGAAAAGCCAAACTATAAAAGGGGGGACTACACAGGTACGAGGAACTTCCTGCAGGAGGTTCAGTGGGACAGAGAAGTGATAGGAAAGTCAGTAAACGAAATGATGGAATATGTAACAACAAAATGCAAGGAAGCAGAGGAAAGGTTTGTTCCCAAGGGCAACATAATTAATGGGATGGCCAAAATGAGTTCTTAGTTTACCCGAAGGTGTAGGGAGGCAAAAACTAAGTGCATTAGAGAATGGAAGAGGTACAGAAGACAAAGGACCCAGGAAAATAAGGAGATCAGTTGAAGAGCCAGAAACGAGTATGCACAGATAAGGAGGGAGGCCCAGCGACAGTACGAAAATGACATAGCATCAAAAGTCAAGTCTGACCTGAAACTGCTGTATAGCCACATTAGGAGAAAGACAACAGTCAAAGACCATGTGATCAGGCTGAGGAAAGAAGGTGGGGAACTCACACAAAATGATCAAGAGGTATGTGAGGAGCTCAACAAGAGATTTAAGCAAGTATTCACAGTGGAGACAGGAAGGCCTCTGGGAAGACAGGACGGAGGGGGACACCAACAGGGAATACATCAACAACTGCTGGATGACACACACAAAACTGAGGAGGAGGTGAAGAAGCTGCTAAGTGACCTTGATACCTTAAAGGCAATGGGACCAGACAACATCTCCCCATGGGTCCTTAGAGAGGGAGCAGAAATGCTGTGTGTCCCATTAACCACAATCTTCAACACATCCCTTGAAACTGGGCAACTACCTGAGGTATGGAAGACAGCAAATGTAGCTCCTATTTTTAAAAAAGGAGACAGAAAAGAGGCACTAAACTACAGACCAGTGTCACTCACGTGTATAGTATGCAAAGTCATGGAGAAGATTATCAGGAGGAGAGTGGTGGAGCACCTGGAACGGAACAAAAGCATAAATGACAACCAGCACGGTTTCATGGAAGGCAAATCCTGTGTCACAAACCTTCTGGAGTTTTATGATAAAGTAACAGAAGTAAGAGACGAGAGACGGGTGGGTTGATTGCATCTTCTTGGACTGCAAGAAGGCCTTCAACACAGTTCCTCACAAGAGATTATTGCAGAAACTAGAGGATCAGGCACGTATAACAGGAAGGGCACTTCAGTGGATCAGAGAATACCTGACAGGGAGGCAACAACGAGTCATGGTACGTGATGAGGTATCACAGTGGGAACCTGTGACGAGTGGGGTCCCACAGGGGTTGATCCTAGGACCAGTGCTATTTTTGGTTTATGTGAATGACATGATAGAAGGGATAGACTCAGAAGTGTCCCTGTTTGCAGATGATGTGAAGTTAATGAGGAGAATTAAATCAGATGAGGATCAGGCAGGCTTTCAAAGAGACCTGGACAGGCTGGACACAGGGTCCAGCAATTGGCTTCTTGAATTCAACCCTGCCAAATGCAAAGTCATGAAGATCGGAGAAGGGAAAGAAGACTGCAGACAAAGTATAGGCTAGGTGGCCAACGACTGCAAAGCTTGCTCAAGGACAAAGATCTTGACGTGAGTATAGCACAGAGCCCGTCTCCAGAAGCACACATCAACCAGATAAATGCTGCAGCATATGGGCGCCTGGCAAACCTGAGATTAGCATTCTGATACTTAAGTAAGGAATCTTTCAAGACACTGTACACCGTGTATGTCAGACCCATACTGGAGTATGCAGCACCAGTTTGGAACCCACACCGGGTCAAGCACGTTAAGAAATTAGAGAAAGTGCAAAGGTTTGTGACAAGGTTAGTTCCAGAGCTAAGGGGAATGTCCTATGAAGAAAGGTTGAGGGGAATCGGCCTGACGACACTGGAGGGATATGGGAGACATGATAACGACATACAAAATACTGCACGGAATAGACAAGGTGGACAGAGACAAGATGTTCCAGAGAGGGGACACAAACAAGGGGTCACTCTTGGAATTTGAAGGCTCAGATGAGCCACAGGGATGTTAAGAAGCATTTCTTCAGTCATAGAGTGGTCAGGAAGTGGAAGAGTCTGGCGAGCGATGTAGTGGAGGCAGGAACCATACACAGCTTTAAGACGAGGTATGATAAAGCTCATGGAGCAGGGAGAGAGAGGACCTAGTAGCGTTCAGTGAAGAGGCACAGCCAGGAGCTGAGTCTTGACCCCTGCAACTACAATTAGGTGAGTACAGTTAGGCGAGTCTTGTGGCACTTCTTTGCCGGCTTTGGTGGAATGCTGACGTCTCACGCTGCCCGTACAGTGAGCATTAGTGTCGATTTTCCCGTTTTCTCTACCTGGGACGTACATTTGTCCTCATACACTGCTGTTGAGCAATTGGTCAGGCCACCATACATCAGCTTCTAGGCTTGAGGAAAGCCTGATGATGTTTCGACTCAGGAAAGCGGGGGATGGGGACAGGATTGTAGGCATCTGGCTTTGCCAGTGTTTCGGCAAGGGCAACTTATTGTTTCCATTTCTTTTTACACACACCCCTCAAGGGAGGTTCCTTGATGCTGGTGAGTAAGTTTATTCAGGTATACACACAGTTACATAGATTATCATACATAGCAGTATATGTGTAGAGAACCTAGATTACCCAAAAAAGTCAGACAAAGTGACTTTTTTCCATTGGGATCCTTTTTATACCTTATTATTATACAATGTAGGAGATAATAACTTATTATACTATAAAGGATATATACTAGGAATAAGATAAAAAGAGTTATCTACATTTGCATGTGTTTTAGCTAAAAAAGTAAAAAACCATTCTCCTCCCTCTCTGTCGCTACATTCATTAGGTACCTCTTGGTTCTTTTCTTGAACCGGCTCATGCTATAACTGGTTTTGACATGTGCAGGCAGTTTTTTCCATTCCTTTATTGCTGTACAATAACAGGTGTTTGAAGCCTGGCCACTGACTGTGGGTACTACAAAGTTGTGCTCTCTTCCTCTAGTGTTATGATTGCCTTGGTTACCAGTCTTGACAAAATTAGCAGCAAGATATTCTGGATACTGTTTGTGAGCAATTTTATAAAGTTGATTTAACTTCAGTTGTTTTACTCTGTCTTCAACATTCAGCTCTTGATCTAGGGAATTGGATCTGTGCTCTGGTTCCCTGAATTGAGCCTAAATACCTTTCACCCTCCCTCCCTACATGCGCTTTATAATCCTACAGGTTTAGCGCTCTCCATGATTATAATTATTATAATTATAATATTTATGCACAGATTTTGGAAAAATTTTCTCAATGCTCCTGGGAGGTAGGGCTCAGTAAGGCATTATTAGTTTTGGTGGCACTTAACAGCACTTTTGTAGCTGTTTTTTTTTAATTGTATTTCATGTTCATGCTTTTGATTTGCTCAGTTTTTGTTTATAAAATTGAGAATAAAAGGGCACAATACCATGACTGGAACAATACACACACAACCCGCACATGGGAGAAACTTATGATGACGTTTGGGTCTGACTTGGGCCATTAACTAGTCACACAGTTAATGGCCCACGTCGGACCCAAACGTCGTCAAAAGTTTCTTTCTCCTATGTGTGGGTTGTTTGTGTATTGTGTTTTATATTGTTAATTATCACGATTATTGTTTATTTACGTATAGTTAGCCTGTTAATAGGTATTACAAGGACCCCAGTGAAAATAAGTCACTGACTTTTTGGGGGTTAAACTATGTACACATTTAAGACAATTGTGATTATCCAAAAACTGTTATTGTACTTAAATAAACTTGCCTAACAAGGACACAACTTTATTAGATCAAAGCATGGGTGGAACTTGACGCATCAGTATGAGTGGAACATACAAAGACCCTTAAGCTCATCTCCCCTCAGGCTAGGTTCCTCGATGCTGGTGAGGGGCTCTTGATTTAGGGAATTGGTTCTTTGCTGCAGTTCCCTGAATTAAGTCTGAATACTTTCCATCCTCCCCATCCACAGGCGCTGTATAATCCCTATGGGTTTAGCGCTCCCCATTCAAATTCAAATTCAAAAGTTTATTCTCTATAAGGATTACAATGCTGAGTTTACAGAATTTGGTTATTGTGTGGTTTACATGTAGTAAAATAATAATTACAGAGTGTACCACTAGAACACCTAGCATGGCTAGGCATTTCGGGGAGACTTAGATTAAATCTTAAGTTTAAAATACAGTGGACCCCCGCTTAACGATCACCTCCCAATGCGACCAATTATGTAAGTGTATTTATGTAAGTGCGTTTGTACGTGTATGTTTGGGGGTCTGAAATGGACTAACCTACTTCACAATATTCCTTATGGGAACAAATTCGGTCAGTACTGGCACCTGAACATACTTCTGGAATGAAAAAATTTCATTAACCGGGGGTCCACTGTATTACAAAATTATGAGGTAAGTTGGTATTATGGCTAAGTGACTAAATACTAGTTTGTGAGTTTAGCAATGTGAATGCTTTCGTTTTGGCACAATACATAGTTTCAGCATTGGAGTATCACAGGCCAACTTATGACTAGTTAAGATTCATTATTTTAAGATTGAGATTGATATTTCTGTTTATAGTCAAATGGGTGAGTGAGTGTAAGTGTG